CGGCCAGCGGCAGTGGCAGCGGAGCTGGCGGAGATCAGTGGTCGTACCAGTACTCGTCCACGCGCAGCAGCCTGGGAAGTGTGCTCTCCGATCAGTCGGATGCGATGAGGAAGCTGAGCGTTGACTCGGCCTGCTACTCGGGCTCCTCGCCTTACCTGGATGGATTTGCCAGCGATGGCTGCCTGCAGCGACGAATCTCGCGCAATTTGCGCACCTCCTTTGAGAATGAGCATTCCAAGAACGATTTTATTGGCTTCCTCAGTGACAATTATTCGGTGGCTCCCGGCGGAGGTGGAGCTGGAGCTGGAGGAGGCAATGGCGGCAGCGAGGGCGGTGGAATGGCTCCGCCACAGTATAGACGCGCCAGCTACAGTGCCAACGAGTCGCGTAGCAATCCAGAAATTGGACGGCGACAGGCGAACCTGCGACGCAGAGCAAAGCTGGGACTGGCCGTGTGCATCTCAATGAGCGAGTCCTTCGAGGAGGAGATGGAGCTCTTCTGCAGCGAGCACATTGCGCTGCTGGAATCGATGCTCAGCCGACTGAGGGCCAGCACCGAGCATGCGTACATCAATCACAAGAATTTCCTGCAAATCATGTTCCAGGCGTGGCAGGACACGCAACAATGGTTCAGCGATCTCTTCACCGCTCCGCGCATCAAGACGCCCGTTTGGCTAAGCATCACCACCAGCGGCAGCAAGTACTCCAAGACTGTGGCCGAGAGATTCATCAAGGAGTTGTGCGATCTACTCTCCTTCGCCGACACCAAGGACTCCAATTTGTAAGTTGAATTTACTTAATTCTTTTTTAATTTTTTTTTACTTAATTCTTCCCCCTGTTCTTGCAGCTTCATCAGCACCATGCTGACGGGGATTCTCACGCATCACCTGGGCTGGGTGGCCACCGTGTCTGCCTTCAACAGCGCCGGTTCCAGGCGATCGGAGTCGTCTGCCTCGGCGGCGGCCATCGAGCAGCGAGCCAAGCTCCTTCAGGTGGCCCAGAAGCATCCGTACAATGCTCTTTGGGCCCAGCTGGGCGATCTGTATGGCGCCATCGGCATGCCACCCAAGCTGGCGCGCACCATCGTTTGTGGAGCGGAGAAGCTCTGGGTGGAGAAGCTGCTCAACGTCCTTACCTACTTCATACGCTGCAGCGAGGTGCGGAGAGCGGCCAAGGGCGAGGATTTCAACAAGCAACTCATCAACGATCTGGTTGTGGCACAAGGACAGAGCCAAAGTCAGTCTACAGCCGGTCAAGAGCGGCACAAGAGTCCACCGACGCAGATGCGGGGGCTGAGCAGGACGGCCACCTGCAAGCAGAATCTGAATGCCATTGTCGATGATGCGGACGATGAGAATGGCGAACTGAATGGCTACGGCGAGGATAATGGCAGCGATTTGAATCGGGATGGAATGGATCCGGGATCAATGGACGCCAGCGATGGCATGCAGACGTTGAAGAAGAACGAGATTCCCACAGTGCTGGCCTTCAGGGACTCGCATTTTGTGCAGCAGGAGCTGCGTATTGGCAACTACCTGATGGACACGGGCATTGATAAGAAGACGCTGCTGGCCCGCCAGGCAAAGCAGTATTTTCGCACTGGCAAGGACGGCCGGATCCGTTTGACAGTGACCACGCCGGATAACGTGGAGCTTTGCATGGAGGAGGAGCAGTCAAGCGGAACCACTGGCTCTGTGGGCACTGGATCTGTCGATGACGGTGCCATCGAAGCCATCGAGTTCATCGAAGACACCAACGTTGAGGCGCCGCCGAAGAAAAACTTTTTCTGGAACATGGTACCGGTAGCAGGCGTTAAGGAGGGACTCAGCCTCAGCGATCTTGCCAAGCTGCAGCAGGGAATTCGGATCATCAATCGTAAGCTAGAGCGACGTTGCAGCAGCTATTCCGTGGAGGGCAACCAAGACGACCAGCAACCGATCAAGGCTGGAGGCGGACCTGCTGACTTTGAGCCACTGAGCCACGAGAGAAGGGCCTCGCATTTGTCCCTTTCGGATCTCATTACCCAAAACAGTATGGGCAAGAGCGATCGCATGACTTGGGGCATTGAGCCCATTAAGGAGAACGTTAGTTTGGAGGAGCAGATCCACTTTGACCACTGCCACAAGCTAATTGAGCGCGAGCATGGCATTTGTCGGCAAACGTCAGCCGTAGACAATGGCAATGGCGTCGTCTTCGTCCTCGGAGACAACGAGCCGTTGGTCAATCTGAAGAAAAGCAGCGAAGATCTCAGTGGGGACCACGACACCAAGCCTGGCCTAATGCTGTGCGCTCAGCATCAGCGTACCCACGACAGGAGCAAGCACTCTGGCATGAAGTTCAACTTTGAGCAGTATCCGCAGATTGCCACCAACTACATGAAGAGCAAGAATCTGGTAATGTCCAACTACGATCTGCTTATGGACAAGGCCACCAAGCTGGAGGCCAGCGAGGCTGCGGCAGCTCTCAAGAGCAGCGATAGCACGGCCACCTTAGCAGCCAGTACAAGCTCCACAGCAGCTCCGCCGACGCCCGTAACTCCCACAGTTACCACCACCACCAGCACTGATCGCTGTGTGGTCTGCAGCAGTGGTGGGCTTAACTCCTCGGCCACCTGGAACCAGACGCCCTCCAATGCCACCGAGCTGGAGTTTGAAACGGACGAAGTGCACTGCTACAATCAGAATGTGTCCAGCTCGAAGGCTCTGCAGTCTGTGAACTCGGCTGCCTCCATTGACACCCTCAAGTTGGCAGAGCCATTGAATCCGACGATAACGCAGACCACATACTTGCGTAAGCAGCAACCCAAACGGGTGCCATCTGGACGCAGCTCAGTGTCCTCGGTGGCCGCCAAGTGTGCGGCGGTTAATGTCACCCAGCAGCTGCTAAAGCTGCCCGTTCCGGGTGTTAAGGAGTTGCCGCAGGACGACGACTCCCCGGGCGAACAGCTACGTGCCGGCTTCATTCCTTCGCTGCTGCTGAGCGTCAGCGATCACTATGTCTCCGACATGGTACTCCAGGTGGGTGCCCAAATCTTTGCAATCCTCTTACCATTCTATAATTTATATTTTTCTATTTTTCCAGGGCACTTGTGCTCCGCCCAATAAATGGGAAATGCATCTGCGTGAGGATCTAGCCTTGGCTGCTCGCTCTGCCTCCCTCATCTCACAGCCAGCGGAGAACATAGCCATTGTGGCGGACATGGACAAGTGGGATGTGCGGGTTGTATCTTCGCAAACTCAGCAGTTTCCGTATGCCGGGGGCCAGAGCTCACCGGTGGGAATGTCACAGCTGGTGTCCAGCATGCTGGAAACCGTGCAGGCCATGCATGCCGGCGGCATACCCGCCTATGAGGTAGATAAACCTTAAATTAATCTAGTAGACACTTTTGTAAAACCATTTTCTTAATTTAATTTGCAGTGCCTGTCGTTTCTGGAGTCCAAGTTGCAGGAGATCTATCTGCAATCGGAGACCCTGGCTGCCTTTCTGCTGGAAACAGATCCCTGCCGTCTGAGCGATATTACCAATCCGCTGCAGCTCTCCGAGAACGATGTGCCGCTGCTGCTGTCCATTGCCTACATACACACGCCCAAGATCAGTCGCAAGTGCGGCATCAGCTTCAGGTGACAGGTGACAGTCGCCGTCAGCTGAAGATCCATTCAAAGAACATTCAGCCTTAGTCGCTGCTCTCATCCAGGCATCATCCAAAAAGCGAAACAAGCAAATACTCCAGCGAATTTTCATTTCACTGATTTTGTGATATATATTTATAGACGTGTGTGAATCTAGCGCCTTAATGCAGGATACGTTAGTGAGCCATAGCTTAGCCTTAGTCCTCGAACCAGACCACTTCATCGATTCATCGGAATTTACCACATCCACTCATCGCGCTCCCCATGAAGAAGTATTGTAAATTATTTGGGTTAGATTGCGCCGACGATGGCCGGCTTAGCAGCACTCGACTGGACGCTGCTATCGGATCGATCGAACGCCAAAAAACATATCTTGCCCCGCCCTCCCCCCAATTTTGTAGTGCTTGATTTAGATTTAATAATTTATGACAGCCGTAATATAATCATAGAATTAATTGTATACATTTACAATATACCCTAGGGATGGAGTGCAGCTACTAAAGTAATTTATAAAAGCATTCGAGGAAGCAACTCGACGTTTGCTGACAATGAAATGTGTATATATTTTTGCAAAAGAAGAATATAAACAAAAACTGAAAACTTTAAATTGCGAATGGTGTGTTTTTATTGATTGGGTGTATGTATGTATTTCAACGAGATTTTGGATATTTATAATATTCCCCTCTTATATATTATTATTTCATTAAGAATTGGAATAAAATAACGATTTTTTCCTGTTTTACCCTTCGAAAAAGATTAAAGGATTTTAGATTGCAGAACTTCTCCAGTTCTTACTGTCGAAAAGTAAATTTAAGCTTATTTTTACTCTCCATAGCACATATATTTCTTCTTTTAAAATATTATATACTATAATACAAAGAAAAGTATTTAACATCACTTTTATTAAATGTACATTTAACTAAAAATTTAAAAGGAACTGCTGGTTGCTAATTTGCTTTATCCATCTAAATGAGAAAGTTATGTAAAAGTTTTTTACCAGAAATGTAAATCAATTATTTGGCATACTTTTGGGAGCCACTGTCCAAAAGTGTATACAAAGTGAAGGAGAAGAAACGATTGGAAAATATATTAATTATTATTACTATTTTTATTATTATTATTTTTATTGTACTCTATGAAGATATTATAGTTTTAAAAAAAAGTTTAGATAAATATATCATATCGATCAAGTCTGTGGTATAGGTTTTTAGTTTACTTAATTGAATTATTATCTGTAACCCATTAAAATATCATTATTTGCAATATGTTAAGAGAGTTCAGTCTAATTGTGGTTGATTGAATTATTATCTGTAAACCTGCTAAGGTATATAAATAGTAACATTTGAACGGGAATTAAAGCAGTATATAGAAAAATGCTTAGAGAGTGCAGTCAACTTGTGGTCCTTCTAGGGCTAATTTACCTATCTAAGGGCGATGATGGTGAGATCTTAAACTTAAATATAATAATTACTTAAATCATCTTTATCTACTAGACACCCTGAATCTTGTGAATGTAACTATAAAAAATCTATTCTATAATGGCGACTCATTATATTATATTGACGAAAGGAGTAAGAACTGGTATGAGGCACGAGGATCCTGCGAAAGCCTGGGCTTCAACCTCATTTCCTTTGAGACAGTAGAGGAATTCGAAGCGATCAATCGGATTATTGATGATACTGAAGCAACCAAAGGCTACTGGACATCAGGAACTGACTTTATACATCTTGGGAATCATGTATGGTTTCCAAATGGTAAGCCCATTCCATTGGATCTTTGGGGATTCCAAGAGCCAGACAATAAGAACGAAGAGGAGCATTGCGACTTATTCAGATTAACCAGTGGCTATGAACTGAATGACGAACCTTGTACGTCGAAGTATTTTTATATCTGTGAGCTCAACTTGAAGCCTTAGTAAATATTTTGATTTCAATTAATTTGGAATGAATAAATACATAAAACTATTATTTATTCATCTTTATTTTAGTATAAAATAAACTAAAATCTACTTATGCAATTTTCTGCTTGTGCTGTATTATGCAAACTTTCCATATTCTTCTGACAATAACCGACGACCGAGTTATTATTAAGATAAGATAGAGGCCAAGTTCAATGACTTTTAAAGGTACTTATCAGTTTTATCTGTTAAATTAAATAATTAAACATTTATTCAATGAATTACCAAAAGTATAAAAGGGAATAATTTTAAGAAGAACCAAAGTAGTATTTGCAAAATGCTTACTCTGTGCAGTGGATTGTTGGTTTTCTTGGGCCTGCTTCATTTATCAGGAGCTAGTAATAATCCAAATGGTAAGAGATCCCTTGCTTATCCTTATTTATAATATTCTTTCCTTAAGCATTATTTTCTTAAACCTTTTCTGTAGTATCTTCCACTCTATTATATATCGACGACACAATGTATTATATTGAAAACACTAAACCAAGGCATTGGTTCGGAGCCCGTAGCGCCTGCGAATCCATCGGCTACAATTTAGTTTCCTTCACAACCATAAATAAATATAATGCCATCAAGAGATATCTCGATGATCAGCGGGACACAGATCACTACTGGACCTCGGGTAATGACTTTATGACGCCAGGTCGCCATGTTTGGCTTCCCAGTGGAAAGCCAGTGGCATCGTATCTTTGGTATTCCGGTGAACCAAACAATTCAACTGGTTTGGAACATTGCGATGAAATATACAAAACTAAAATGTATGTACAGGATTGCACACTGAAGCATTGCTATATCTGTGAGCGCATTTTGAAATAGAAGTTTATTTCATAAGAATATTGTATATATTTATAAACAAACAAAATATTCACTCACAAACTGCTCCACATTCCATATTCACAATTTAAACAAATCATTGATTTTCATCCTTAAAACAGAACATATTTAAAATATATAAATTATAATTTTCACACTTGATGTTTTTCTTATTGCTTTCATTTAGTTTTTTATTTGTTTATCGAGAATTCACTTACATATCAACACACAATTATCCATAAATACAACTATTCGCTATGTCTTACTATCTAGGGGAAGATATGGTTAAGATTCCCGTTTCATCAGCTTTGACATCCAATTAAATAATTATCACATTTCCTAAAGTGTATATATATATATAATGGTATATGGTTTTTTCGGACTATAAATGGTTGGCGTTCCTCGCCTGCTCAGCTCAAGACTGACCCAGATCACTTGCCCTTCTGCGCCTCCAGGTAAGTGGCCGTAAAGGTGAGCAGGCGGTGCCGCTGCTTAAGGTTGCGAGCGCGAACATGCGCCGAGTTTAACTCCTCGGTGTAGCTTCCTGGGAACCAGCCGACGGCGCCATCCCGTATCCTTTCACCCTGGTACCAGCCTGCAAGAAATCAAGGGATTTAAAGAGATTGTCAACGGATTTTTAGAAGTAACTCTTACCATCAGGCAGCTTGCGGGAAACATTGACAACATCGCCCAGCTCCAGCTGAAGGACATCCGGTTCATCGGACTCGTAGCTGTGCTTGGCCACCACCTGGGGACAGTCCCAGGACTCGTAGAGCTTCTCGCCGGGCGTCTCCGCCTCGGGCGGTCGCATGGCCTGCAACCAGCGCTGCTGGTCGGACACCGATGGGCAGGACAGCACCTAAGTAGGTCAGAGATTAATTTCAATTCAAAAGAATGATCTAAAAATGTAACCCACCAGCTCGACAGTCTTGCGATCGCAGTTCTCCAGCAGCGTCATCAGCATGAGGTTCTTGCCGGCCTGATCCTTGAGGTCCTTGGTGGGCAGTTGGGGCAGAGTGTCGCCGGCGGTCAGGGTCAGCATGCTCCGCGGGCAATAGTCAAAGACGGTGAAGTTGGATTCGCCGCGACGCTTGCAGAGGACCAGGAGGTCCGAGAAAAGGAAAGCGTAGATGCTGGCCTTGGTCAGGCGCTTGCCAAAGGTCAGCTTGGCATCCTCGCCGCGCCAAATCAGATGGGTGAGTTCACCCCTCTTGACCAGGAAGCGTGGCTTTGAGCCCGCTCGTGGTACACCCATGGGCGTGATGGCAAGAGCACGAACATGCGAGGGGAACTCCAGCTGGCGGGCAATCCTTTCCAGCTCGTAGGCCTGCTCCCAGCGATTGGCCGCCTCATTGCACTGCGCCACTATTTTCTGGACCAGGGCCAGAGTCAGCTTCCAGCTTTCGTATTCCTCACGATTAAGCGGCGACTCTTTGCTGAACACCGCATCGATGAGGAGCGGCAGCCGGGTGATGCGCTGCATGGGGAGCATCAGGAACGAGTGCAGGTTGAGGCCACAGCAGCTGGGACTCTGTTCCAGTCGCTCCAAGTGCTGCTGGAAGGCACTCGACTCCTTGGACTCCTTTAGCCGACGCAGTGTCCTATCCATTCGTCCCTGATGCTCACAAAAGGCCACATAGACATGAAAGTGCCGCTCGGCGATCTCGTAGATGCAGCGACTCAGTCCCAGCAGCATAATGTTATCCTGCCAGCAGGCTTCCAGCTCGGTGAGCAGTCGCTCCGAGCACTCGTGCACGGGCACGATGTAGGAGAAGAGAGCCTTCCGATCCCGGCCACTCAGCACCGAAGTATCCATGAAGGCACTGTGGTTCATAAAGTGGCGACGCAGCAGGTTCAAGGACTTTAGGTAACTGGCCTCCGAGGTGATGATCTCGAATTTGGCCTCCTGCAAGCTGCGCTCCCGACTAGTCAAGGTGGCTGAAATGTAATTATTTTTATAAAAATATATTATAGTTTTAATAATAATATACTCACGCAGAATGCAGGACTGAATGACCTCTGGGATCTCACTCCACAGTGTCCGCGAAGGTCCATTCTTGGGCTCCACCAGCTGCAGGGCTGTGGGTCTTGGTTTCGCCAGTGGCTCTGTCTTCTGCTTGGCATGCTGACCTATCTCCTCGTAACCATCTGCAGATCCCTCGTGCGCCTCCAGGTCACGTGTAATGGACTGAAAGTAGATTCATGGATTTAAGTTTAAGAGATTTAATCGTTTTTCTTGGCTGACTCACCTCCAGCTTGGCGGCGCTGTACATCTGATAGAGGGGCTCGTTGGAGAACAGGCTGTGCGGCTCGGAGTTCAGCTCATCACCCAGACCAGCCTCGTTGCCAGTGGAGACACCGGAACTGCCGCTGGAGCTGGCCACGGATATGCCGCTGGTCTGGTAGAGACCTGACTCTGCATACCACGAACTAACGCCTCCGGCACTGGGCGTGGGGGTGACTGGCTCGTCGCCACGTGGCGAACTTGCCGAATTACTAGCCTGCTTGAAGACACCGCACTCGGCATACCAGGAGGTGGTCTGGCCAGGTTCCTGCTCCCGCAGCTCCGTATCCGTGGGTGTCTTACTGCCACCAATTGGCGGCGGAGGTGGAGGCGGCGGCTCATGAGGACGCAGTCCAATGGTTGTGCGACGTCTGGTGGCCTTCGCCTCCTTCTTGGCCTTGCGAGACACCGTGGAGAACTTCTGCGATTCGGCCGTGGGCGTGCAAGTTTTCTCGCAGAAGCCAGAATCCAGTTCCCCAGAGCCATGCATCTCGGGGGAAGGCAACTGCAGGGTCAGCAGCGATCCCTCGGGGTCCTCCACATAGAAGGTGCTCCGTGTTTCCGTCAAAGAGGCCAGATGCTTGGTGTCGAAGCTGGATCCGACCAGACTCTTGCGAAGACGAGAACGCAGACTCTTTCCATTCTTCTGCTTGGCCCTCAGCACTGGCGCCTGTTCCTGGTGCGGACTTGTGGCCACGGGATTCCTCTCTGGCCCGTACTCTGTGTTCTCGTACTCCCTTACCTCCGGTTGCCTCTTGCCACTCTCCACGTAGAACTGGGTGGCCGCCGGGGTATTCTCGTACAGCTTTTGCTGACTGCCCTTTGGGGATTTCTTGCTGGAGATAAAATCCCGGAATTTGCGAACGAACTCGTAAACTTGATTTTGGGCAGGAGGTGGCTTCGGCAGGCGATGGTTTCGCATGTCCACACCGCTGTCGTTGTGCTGGAATGGTAAATATTATATTTTAAATTAATTAATTAGGAACTAAGGATAGGTAGTACTTACATTTCGCTGTTGCTGGTCGGGCTCTCCCTCGCCTGGATCATCGCTGTCTGTCTCAAAGGAGTCGTAGTCATCCGAGATGACCACATGCTCACCCAGGGCATGTGCGGAGGCGGAGTGATTCTTAGAGCGACGCTGAGATGACCGGATTCCACTGGTTCGAATCACATCCTGGTTAGGATGGAGCAACTGCGTCGAATGGCGTTTGTTACCAAGAGGCGAAAGTGTTTCGTAGTAGTGATCGGAGTCATCTGAAGGAGATTTAAAGATGATTATTAAAGTATTTACATATATATATAAGCTTGAGTTCGGAGTTTCTTTATAATATAAAGATTATAAGCTTATTATTTAAATAAGTAAATAAAAAATGGCAAGACTTAAAGGCCTGCTCTTCAATAGCTTAGAACTAACTTTTAAACTTAATATATTATTTTCTTCAAAGAACAATATTTCAATTAGTTTTATTACATTTTAAAATGCTTATTTTTATATATTTTAAATGAAAGTTAAAGTAATATTTTCTTGGAACCAGAACGAACCTACGAAAGTGCTCACTGTCACCGTGACTTTTGTGGCATGCTCTTGACCCTCCTCCGGTGGCACCTCGTGGCTCACCCGCATGGAGGTCAGCAGCTGGGCCCGTTGGTGGACATGACTGCATCGCTGGCTAATGGCCGCCGCCTCGTTTTGGTAGATCGGTTCGGGAGCGGGACGCACTGGTTCGGCGGACACGGGCCCATTGAGATACACACAGCTGGAGTTATGGTGACCACCGGTCACTGCCACCTCGCCGGCGGCACGGGGTCTCCGCTGGCGGGGAAGGGTTACCAAATCGGCGGGATGACCGCTGCTGCTCAGGCTGCTGGAGCAGCTCAGGCGCTGGTCATTGTTGGGATTAATTGACGACATCTAGTCACATCTTTGGCGGGGTTCAAAAGACTGTAAATCAATGATGATTCACTCAAAGGTCTGACACTAAAAATAAACCAATTTCTTTTCTATTCTAGAAATGTTGCCATAAAAAGATATCTTTTCTTTGTCATATTTAATTATCTTCTTATGGTATTGGTCTTTTTATGGCAAATTTTCTATTCTTAAATAGATTTTTAAGTTGGTTTTGGAGTGTTTAATTAATGATGTTGCTTTAAATCTGTTTTTATAAAGTTTTATATGTTTAATACTGTTTTATATATTCCAAACACTTTTTCTTTATATATACTCCTTAAAACTTCCAAGAACGTTTCACTTATTCTTTCAAGTGTGAAGTTGCAGCTCTTCTTCTGGAATTTTTGAACTCTGTTCTTAGGAAAAAATCACTCAATTGAAAGCAATTAAAGCTGCTGCAATTGTCTGCCCTTTTCTGATTGAAATACTCAGCCCACTATGTCCACTTTGTCCACTATGTCCGATATGCTAATTAAACCGACTCCCCGAGTGTCACAACAATATACAAGCTGGCCTTATAGAGCCATATAGTATATCAGCCAGACCAGACCAGACCAGACCGTAGGCGTTGAATGCTATACTAAACTAAACCAAGCTAAGCTAAAAACTAAAATAAAGTAAAATAATAGCAAAAACACCCAAAGCAGGGGCATGCAAAATAGCGCAAATTATAATGGAATCATGGTTGAATGCAGACAGTCTCTCTCTCTGCTATTTACATATGTATATGTACTCATATAGTTGGAAAATCAAACACCATGATGGCAGGTGCCGCACATCAAATGCCCTGAAAAACTAACGAATTTGGCAATTTTCAAATGAATTTTTAAGCCATATTTTGCCAGCAAGCCAAGTGTAAAGTTAGAAAAATTCCAGCCAGAGAACATTAAATTCCAACGCTAGATGGTATCTGATCGCATATTACGTATACGTAATATCTCATGGAGATGAGGAGGCAGGCAAGCGCAGCGAATGTTAACCGGTTCCGCACAGAGAGAGAGGGAGAGAGATAGAGATGAAGAGAGAGAGAGAGAGAGAGCCAATAAAATCTGGAGTCAAGATCTGCAAGCTGGAGACCGATCTGAGCATGAATATGAGTTTTATATGGCATGAATTCATCTACAGTTGTGGCACCAATAATAGCACTCAAGAATGTAGACCATAATTATTGTAAATAGCAATTGGTAATGACAAAACGGAATGAGTATTAAGAGATCCAATCGTTATTATATAATTCTAAGGCATAAACTTAATAAATATTGATTGTTAAGTAACAAAGGAAATATTAAGAGAACTGTACAAGAAACAATCTAATTTTTTATTAAGATATATAGAAAACCAGTTGCTTTTTTATACTAATAAAGTCCCCTTGCAGTGCTAATTTATTAAAAATATAATTTTTTAACACTCTGCTATTATTTCATCCTCTATTGTCCCGCTTTAAAGGTACATATCTTGAACGAAACAAGATACTTTTTTGGCTGCGACACTTGTTTTGCGCGTGGGCCGCTGGAGAGCTGGATTCTGGCTCGGAAACAAGGAGCTGGGATCTTGGCCAGCTCAATGTTACCGGTTTCAGATTATTTGCTGACGTACAGGCTTTAATTTTCTCATATTTCTCTCTTTCTGCGAATTTAGGCCTTTGTTTGGTGCGTGCAAAGCGAATGTTCATATCCAATACGGAAATGGTTTATTTCATTAGCCGCACCAAAGCGAACAAAGAAACCGCGAGATGGTACATAACATACCAGAAAAAAGAAACCCATAGTGAGTATAGCAAATGAGATACATTTGTAAACAGCCAAGATGTGCAGAATGTGTGTAGTTTAGTGTACAAATTGCATTCACACATCAGCTGAGGAAGCTGATCCCGTCGGAGTTCCATCTTTTGTTTTAATGGAATGCACAGCAAGTGCAAGGCCGGTCGATTCTGTTGTTTCTACTTCTTCTTCTTATTCGCTGGTAATTAACAATTAATGCTGGTGCACTTGGACAGTTGGAAAGAAATCCAGTTGAACAGCGGATCGCATCCAACGGTTGATTGATCGGACGACGCATTAAGGTTAAGATTATTAAGTGCCAAACGATGTCATTGCCTTTCAATCGGCGCTTGGTCACGTAAGAAAAACAAGCTGATAGCATCCAAATGTCTTTGTTTAAACTTGAAAATAACAATAATTATAGTCCCTTTAGCAGATATTGGCTTTTAAGTTTATGTAAATCGCAATTTATAGTTCCTTTTAGCAGATTTTTATTTTTAATAGAGTTATTCCTATTGCATTCTTAATATATCTTGAATTTGTAATAAGAATATGAACATTATAGATTTATATTTATATATTTATATTATAAAAAATACATTTTTTAGAAGCCTAAATATGTTTTAAATAGTGTTTTTGGGCTTACTCTGTAAATTGATTACATTAAAAACGCTAATTATAAGCAATCTACTTAGGAAAACCCCAGACTTTGACTGAATTTGAACTTTAGGCATGCAACCAATTACAAATTTGTTATAAATTATTTATCTGTTTCAGTTGCAATAATTCAAGGCTTGGCATATAACAAATAATACAATTTCCCAGTTAATAATGTAGTTATTTTGTATTCCTCAATGTAAGCCTTAGTCATCTAAATGACAAAGTGAATACATTGCTTTCAGCATCCAAAATTTGTAAACAAGGTACATTTCTTTGGAAATATTGTAAACTTTCCTCAAACTATTAATTATACGTAAAATTCTTGGTAATTAGGGAATATTTCTGCTACATCATGGGCCTTGTTTTCAATCATTTTCATCTTTAATTCTTTAACTTTTGTAGCTTCCATTTTCGAGGTTGCCCTGTAACAGTCATCTAATTGGAAATGTGCATCTATTCCGTAGATTTCCCAAAACCCAAGCATGATCTCTTCCTGGATGCGACAGTGGGGCTCATAAATTTTCATTGCAATGCGCCCCAAGTCTGAGTCTGAATTTCCACGACACTTTCGCTGCGGGAGTTGCGTGTCGGGCGACGACAAAAAAAAATAAAAACAATAAAAAATAATAAAATAAATAACATGGCAAAGTTCGTAGCCGGTATTCGTAACGAGCCAGAGTTGAACGTGCCTCGGGTAAAAGTTAAAAGTTAAGCTGAGAATTTCCATTTAGCGGGCTAAGCCTAAACAAGCCGAGCTTCGGTTTCACCCGTGAAACATGAAGCAATTACAAGATATTTTCCAATTGCCAACTGCGTTCGCTGAACTCTCCTTTTGGGAGAGGGGATTGGCTCAGAGAGGCACTATCGCATTTTTCGCACAAAGCCTTTTTTGTAGGATTACGTGGAACACTGAGCGAAATAATAGGGTATATTTATTTCCTATATACAAAAAAATATAGTTATTGAGAAATTATAGTACAATCTTTCAGTATTTCAGAAGAAACTTTTATTATTCTTCCTATCGTTAAACATTTCTTGGTGCAAATTTGTATTTAACTTACAAAACTGGTTTTATATTTCCAACTTTTGTGAAATTGAGTTATTTTTTAGGCACAAATACCTCGAACTCAAGCACAATTTAATATTGATTATTATTTTGTTAATGGTATTGCCATTATATTATGACATTTTAATCTTTAAAGTAAAGATTAAGAGGGTTTTCCTATTAAATTTACTAACCAAATCATCTTGCTGAACTGAAATCTGACTTTAACAATGAATCTAGTTTTTTTCATGACATATTTGTACTATTTTCAACTTTTAATTATCTATTTTACGATCAATTAAGGAAAATATCTTTCAAATATCAACTTTGAAAAACTAATTTTTCCTCTGTGCTGTAAATATGCTTCCTCGATTTCGAATTTCGGATTCGCACTCGAATTCGCACTGCACATTGCACATCGCCTGTAAACTTTTGTTGCAATAGTTGCCCATTATATGAAGAGGGTTGTTTTTTTGTTGTTTATTTTTCGTGCTAGTTACAACTAATTTTTGCAAAAGTCATCCATCGAATTGGTAAATTGCAAATTGGCTAAATTGGCAAATCGCGATTCCTTTGGATGTACAACGGTTATCTCTACGCTTTTTCCCTTGTTTTGCTTTGTGTTTCGTTAAGACTTCTTCAAGGTTGCTCCGTGAGCTGTTGGCTGGCGTTTTATGTTTCTAGACTGGTTTTCGTTTTCGCTAAACAATTTCGTCATCGCCGCAAACAAAAGCAACAATAATTCAGCGAGAAGGGGTTTGCCGGGGGGTTGGGTGTGGACGGTGTGGAAGGGCAACAATAAAATCATCGGCATCGGTTTCAGTTCGTGACGTCTCCACATAAGTACAATAAAAAAAGCACACACACAAAAACTTGTAACTGCAAATTGCACTGTCGCTTGCTCTCGCAATCTCTCTCTCTTCCTCTCTCAATTTTTGTTTTTTCGGAAGCTTTGTCAATGCTCTTGTTTCATTTAATTTCATTTTGGTCTTCTTTTGTTTATTTTTCTCAGATTATTATTAGAGCAACATCATTAATTATGCACACCGATATTCACATTTATCACACAAAATTCTGTTTAAACAGTCCGCCGGTGTTACTTTTTTCGGACCGTTCGAGTGGAGCGCGTTTTACCGAATGAGAGAGAGGTGGGATCCACACGGATCCCCACGGAAAGCATGCTGCGGCAACAACAACAACATTGAGCAAATTGCACTTTGCGTCCACTTTATGGGCATTGTGTGGAACCTGTCTTGCTGTCTCTCCGCTCTCCGTAAGCTTGGCTTAATTCACTCTCACTCTCATTTGTAAGAAAAAAACTAAAAGGTTGCTCGGCTAATTAAACGCTCTGCTAGCTGCTCGCCTTGTTAATCACTACGGGTTCCGCTTCACTTTTGGCATTTTCTTTGGGCTACTACGTCTGCCACTTATGCATATTTATCAAAAGGCAAAATAGCTAGCGGGGCTCGCAGCAATTAAACTGTTGATAATTATTGGCGTTTTGCTTGCCAAAGTCACAAACACAGGGTCCACAACACTCAACGGACAGCTACAATTGTGGATGGCAAAGCTTAGTGCAGACACGAACCAAGCGATCGAACAAAGCGGGACAACGTAAGGTATACGTAATGTTTTCGAACATCAAAACGTATACGTAATATGTGGGAACTTGGCTTGGACATTTTTGTGAGTTTTATTTAAGTTTCTGGGTTAAATTTAAAGGGTAAAAAATAAGAAAAATAAATATAATTCTGTAAAATAAATTACTTAAGTTAAAAATAGCTTGTAACCTTCTCATCACAAAGTAAGCACTTTCTAAGATTCTTGACATAATTTTTGCTTATCTATAGTCTTAACTATTGTTTAGTTAACTATTATATATATTTTTTATAGATAATACTCACCCTCAATGCAGCTTATCGCCTTCTTCTGCAGTCTTTTGTCTCTGATGCGTTTCGACCAATCGGGGCTCCGTGTGCGATGCGGCTTAAAGCGTTCCCGAACACTGAAAGTGGCCAAGGGCAAAGATATTTTAACTAAAATCGTTGACTACTTAATACTGATTTAATTGCCTTAAAATAGTTGTGGTTAAGTACTTCATGATTTCCCCCCAAAAAACAAAAAATCGATCGATCAAAATAAGCGGAAAAAGGTCTCTGATGTGGTTCCTCCAACCATGCTGAGTGCTGACTGGCCAGAGTGCTTGGATTGCCTCTCGACTTCTCTCAGAACTTCTAGGGTTTCCCTCAAGAGGCCCGTCAGAGGCAGTCAATCTTATCGACTGATAACATAACAAATTGTAGGTCAGTGGTCTAATTAATAGAGGGGAGAGAAGAGTTCCAATCAGCCGGCCGGCCGAGTGTTGCAACTTCAACAAAAATTAATGGAAAAGAAATGGAACAGAGCAGAGCGTGACATTTCACTAATTAAGTGAATGATTATTAAATGGTTCTTAATTTGTTGAAATTATCATATAGTTTCTTTTAAAAATGAATAGTAATTGAAGGGAAATTAGTTAGAATTTGTTAGTTTTTGTTTAGTATTTAATATTTTATATATTAAATTGAAATATACCCTTAATATTTTTTGCTTCCTCTGACGTCGTAGCGTTTATCTTCTCGGCTTTGTTTACTTATTTATCTGATTATGCAAATGAAAAATAACAGAGTGACTAAGTAACCCTTTTTTACTGTGTATATATATATATACAAATTCTATATTCTGTACTAATTATTGCTTATTGTTTTTAAAACTGTAAGATAATGTAAGTAAAAAGTCAAGAGCTTAACACCAGCAACCTTGACCTGCATTTCCGTGTATTTTTTTGGGGTCAACCTTTAGCTATGGGTTTATAATTTATAGATATATATGAATATACTTTATATAAACACCGATGTTGCACCATTTATTGACGGCAACAGCAATTGAGCGGGTTGGAGATCCCTTCGGGTCTTGTCTTTGGCCCAAGGCGATTAGATAAGGCGAAACTCAAACAAACTGATAAGCAATATACGCAGAATTTATATAGTCCATGTTAAAAGGGGAATTGCAGTTCCGTTGTGCAGGAAAATAACAATAAAAATTGCCATGTTTTTATATGTTACTTCAATTTGATTCAATTTCATTTCAATTAGCAAAGAGTTGACATTAAAAAAGATTCATTTCTGACTTTAATTGCTGGATGTTAAGACTCTGAAAAGTTTTCCCTCAAAAGAGTCACTTTACGTTGATTTTTACAAAAGCTTTATAGGTGATTAAACATTAATATATATTGTATATGAAATATTTCCTCCATTATATTAAATAAAACAACTTTAGTAGAATGTAAAATAGCTAATCTGTAACGATTTGAAATCAGAAACTATAAAAATGGCTGTAAAGCACAAAAAATGTATTGCAAAAAGTAAACACAAGATTATATTGATAGCTTATCTGTTTGAAAAAATATTAACAAAGCATTTAGAAACCTCTCCTTGGAACCACTTTCCTAATTTCCCGTTTTAATATTCAACAAAAATTCCAACTTAACATAAAATAAAGTATTTAAAAGTTATACTCACACAATAAACTGAGCCTCGGTGGCCAGCTCCACCTTCGTGTGTCCATGTTCGCCATCCGAGATGTCCACCCAGGCATCGCTGTTATCACTGGAACCGGCTATCGAGGATCTCTTGTCACCGGGTTTTCCGCTGTCCCGACTTCCGGCACTGCTGCCCACGGAGGAGCGGCAACCCACACTGGCACTTCCGTAGACAACGCATCCATTGGCCGCCAGTGAGGATTCGTACAAGCTATTGGTCTTGTGGTCCGAGGAGATGGTCAAGGTGGAACCACTGCTCGAGAGTTGGATGCAGCTCCCGGCTGATCCCTGGTTCTGTCCCGTGGCCATCTTTGCCTTGCGGAAATGTGCAATGCTCTCGTAACAATTGGAGCCCAGGGAAATGGCATCTGTGGTGAGGGTAGCTCCTCCGCTGGATGAGGAGGAGGAGGAGGTCTTGCAGTGCATGGACTCGTAGCATCCTTTGATGGTATCGTAGATATTCTCATCATCCTCGGAGTCCTTAGTCCCCGGCTTGGGAGGAGCAGGTCGCAGAGGCGTCGCTGATTTCGGGAGCACTCTCATGGGCTTGGGAAGCTCCGGCAGTTGATCCCGGGTATTGCGACCCAAGGTGCCAGTTCCCAGGATTATGGGTGTGCTTACCATCTCCTCTTGGCCAATGCACTCGTAGCCATCGAAGGCTGGTGGAGATGACTCCTGGGAGCCGGCAATGGACTCATAGCCCTCCAGCCAGATGTTCAGTTTGGGTTTGGCAGTGCTCTTGGTTGTCTCCTCCAGGGTTTGGTATATATCCTCCACAATCTCAGACTTTTGAGCGGCAATCTTGAAGAGGCTGGAGATTGGGGTTTCAGTCTTGGTCTCACTGCCAATGGGTGTGATGGGTTCGTAGATGGATTCGGGTTCCGGCAGCTCCTCCTCCTTCTTCTGCTCCGCCTTGAGCTCCATTGCCTTGTCCTTCATCAGCTGCTTCTGCTCCATGATCATCTGCTCACCCTCGATGGCATTGACCAGGGTGACATTTACCGCCTGGTTGAGCAGGATCTGATTGTTGGAGATTTGCTTATTGGCCGCCTGATAGACGAAGGAGTTGTTGGGCAGGATGCGCTGCTCAAAGTCATTGTTGGCTCCTAGTAGAAGTTCACCATCCTGCGAGGACATTTCACTTGGAGGATTGAGCACTTTGAGCTTCTGATCCACAGCCTCGAGGGCATCTAGGATCTTGGAATCGGCATCAATGCAGGGAGGCAGGGGGAGTACGGGTGAAGGATCCTCTAGCTTAGGTTCGTCTTTCCTGGAAACCTCTTCCTTGGGTATTTTCAGCCTGAGCTCCACATCGCTGGTAGATTCCTCCTCGGGAGGTTCCTCCTTAGAAACTGGCTCCTTCGACACCACCTCCTCTTCCTGGGACACCTCCTCCTTGGATCTGTGTTTTGTGGGTGAGGGACTAGCTGATTTCCTGCCCTTGGCAAAGGTAAACCTAAGTTTCTCATAGATGGTGGCATACTTGTGCTTCCTTTGCTTCTGACGCAGATCCTCCTCCTCCGCCTCCTCCTGTTCCTCACCCGCAGCAAGATCAAGCTCATCCTGGGGCTTCTCAACCTTAGCTTCTTGATGCTCATCAGGCTGTGACTCTGTGGGACTTGACTTTGGTTGCTTAGCTGGCTCCTTGGGTGTCTTGACCTCCTCACTGACCACCGGCAGTTCGGGTATGCCTGGACTTCCCGCCGGCAGCTTGAGATTCCTTTTGGTCCGTGGACCTCGCGGAAGAGTGCTTCCCCTGGCAGTGGAACCACTAGCCATCAGTTCCTGGTGCTTCCGCATCAATTGCTCACTCTTCAGTGGCACACTGGGCTTCTCCAGCTTCTCGAACTTTTTGATATTTCGCTGGACCATGGAGATGCGGTTACCTTCCTCACCAGACTCGGCGGCAGGTTGCTTCTCCACTATTTTGTAGACATGAGTTCCCCGTGATAGCCACACCCCATTGTTCCGCTTGACCTGCTCCAGGAGTCGGGCATCCTTTTGGATGATCTCGTTGAACTGCTGCGTCAGCTTGGCCACCAGACTGATGCCGCCACCGGAGCTGGATCCGGAGCTGAGCGACATATCCATCCCGCTAATCCTTCTGGATGAGTGATGGTGCTGGAGATACGACTTCCCGGCATGCGTTTTAAAGCTATATTTGCGACGACCCCCGGAACGTCCCGTGGCCGATGTGGTGTGGGTGACGCTGGAGGAGATCGAGGTGGAGGCCCGAGAATGGGCAGTGTTTACAGAATCGCTACTGCCGCCACCGTCGCCGTTAAGGGCGCTCGTCGCGCTGAGACTGAAAAGCTCGCCGCGATTACGCTCTCGCTTGGCCCGCAGTTCGACCTGCTCCTCCTCCTCCTCCTCCTCCTCCTCTGCTGCCACCTCTGGTTCCACCTTATCTCCCGCTGATAAGACTGCCATGGCAGGTGAGCTGCTGCTGCTGTCGTCACTTTTCAGGCGCTTTTCACTGGCCTCACTGTGTTCGCTGCTCATTTTGGCCCGCATCCTGGCCTGCTCGGCGTTCTTGTATTTGTAGAAATTATCCTTTTCCCTTTGAAGTTGAAGATTTCGGTTATTCGCTTCCTGCAGATTATGCAAACTGGCAGCACGTTTGGCCAGCGATTTCTCCGGTGTTCCACAATCTCTTGAGTTGTTGAAGGCATTCACCAGACAGCTGACACTCTTGTTTAGCTTCTTCAAGGTGCCCAGCGAGGAGGAGGTGGAGGTGGAGGTGGAGTGGTAACCTGGACTGGCCTGGGCTTCCTCGCTGGCACTCTTGATGCGCTTGCTCCACAGCAAACGCAGAGTTTGCACACCGCGAAAATCACGAAAGGCCCGCGATTCGCAATTGCAATTTGGATTCGCACTCGGATTTGGATTTGGATTTGGATTGGGATTGGTATTTGCTTTGGGATTATTGTTTTCACTATCTGCACTGCTGTTCACCAGCCAATTAATTATAGTCTTTTTCGATTTACGCGGTGAATTTGTGGCTGAGGTGGCTCCAGAGCGCGTTCGTGTGCCTGCCGCCGTCTTATTCCCATTGAGATCACGGCGAGCGGCAATGGCAGCCGCATCCAAGACAGGTGACATCGCCATGTTGATGATGATGGCGCTGGCTCAGTCCGATCTTGGCCTGAAGGCGATCACGTTCTCGGCCAACAAAGATGGTGATGGTGATGATGTTGCCCCTGGAGCGAGAGTGGAAGAGAAAGCTCTGTGAAAATCTTGTTCAACACAAAATGCAAATTAATGGAGGCGCATTTATTTTTCAGGGCGTGGCATATCGCAGCAATTATGCGCGATAAGCTGGTTGTGGAATTTTTTATCGGGGTTTCTCTACAAGTTCTCGATTGACATATTTAAAGAGAGCCAAAGGAAGGGGGAGCAGGCTTAGAACACTTATTTGTTATTAAATATTTTCGTTTTACAAGGCTAGCTGTATGTAATTTTTGTTGTTGTTTTTTTAATAGGTTAGCTGCATTATTCATGGTTTATATTGAGAGATTGTAAAACAGCTTTAAGACAAAGAATTGCTGCAGAAAGCTGTACTTTTATCTGGGTTCCGGCAAGAATGTGTAATAATAAATATTCGTAATTCCGAACATCTCAGATAAATGTTTAAATTGCTTAAGAATTTCAGTGATTAATATTTATTTTCCTTAAAACCGATAACTGCTTGTTATATTTAATTGTGTAATCGTTAAGCTTTAAATTTAATATTATTTTATGAAGATCTAAAACTGTTTAACAGCTTCAAGAATTTATTATATATGATTTTCCAAGAACTTAATAATAGTTTGAAATTACAAATTAGTTCTGTTTTAAGTTTAATAATAAATTCTAAAGATTAAGCAGTGTTTTCAATTTTATAAATTTTAAATATTTGTAAAGACTTAAAACTATTTAAAAGCTTAAAATAATTATTATATGATTATTCAAGACGAAGATTATAGTTTAAATTCTTAATAGGAATTCTTTTTTTTTTTATTTAAATCATATTCTGAAGGTTAATATTGTTTTTAAAATAATACAAATACAATATTTTATAAAAATGTAATATTGTTTAGCTTCTTAAATAAATTATAATGAATGGTTTAGCATGGTTTTAAATAATTTTCTAGTAATAGTTTATGCTGTTTAAAACTTGTAAATAGTTGTTTAATTAATTTATTATTTCTTTCTTAGGTTAAGCACTATTTTATTATTTAATAAATATGAGCATTTAAAACTGTTCAACCATTTAAATAACTTATAAGCAAAGGTTTTCTAGATACAGTTAATGGTTTAATTATTTATAATTATTTCGCAATAGTAAGCAGTATCTTTAAGACATAAAGAAAACAATTATTCATTATTTTTTGAACATTTAAAACTGTTTAATATAAGAATTTCAAGAAAAAGATACTAGATTATACTGCCTTAATTGAGCTATTAGTTTGTTGTTTAATACAACTAGTATTTTCTGAGGTTTATCAGGGTTTCAGATATAACAAATTATACATAACAACGAGAAACATTTGTTTATAGGATATTTAGCTTCAAAAAAACCTAACAAATTAAGCAAAAAACAAAGATAAAGAAACACATAAATAGAAAACAAAAATCAAGAGTAAAAATGTTGAAATAGAAGCAAAACCAATTGTATTTAAACATTATGGTTTGTTCTTTGTTCATTTAACAATTTCCACAATCAAAACTACCTTCAAAAGCAAAAAGCTCTTTAAAAATCGTGTAATCTGCAAAGGTATTTTAAGCCTCTTTTCGATTTTTGACTCACTGCCCATTAGATTGCCCAAAACTGACTACTTATAGTATGAAGTATCTAGTATATATATATATAGATTCATTACAAAATTGTCGCCTCAAGGAAGTCGCATTCGGTGAGTGAGAAATCATGGCATGTGGTTTATACTACGTACAACATTGCGTATGCTTGATGCGGTATGAATGCTCCCTGGCTTATCGCTGGTGGATCGATGTGGGCTATGTGACGATATGGCATTGCACAAAACGAGGCCCACAATATTGTCTTACCGCCTCCTCGCACCTGACAATTATTTACCCGACCCGTTCACGTGTCTTTGTCACAGACAAACGCCAATTATAATGAGCGATTACATAAAGGCGAGCGAGCGAAGACAATTTCTTCTGCCTCACATCGTAAAATGGCTTTAAGCTGCTTTCAGTCAGTCAGTCAGTTCGTTAGCCGTCTTCATCTTCATCTTTTTCCATATACATATTTTTGTCCCCCTATTGCTCTTTGTATTTCAATTTGTTTGGATATATGGCCAGGTATATCCATATGTTGTTTCTAGTTGTCACTTTTTTTCCCCTCTTATTTACTACTTCGCACGCGGCAAGAATAACAATATTAATTTTTATTTGCCATTGCAGAAAGGTTTTTTCGAACAGGAAAAATATATTATATAGCCACGATCCCGGGGCCAATGTAAATAAAGAAGCTAAAGCTGCTGACGATTACGCAAACCTCTTTCGTTGAGCATATTTTGTTTATTTAAGGAAATTTTGTGTGTTTACATAAAATGTCTTGTTTAGATGGCATGGAATTTTTTATTGGCGATTATTTGTCAATTGCAAGGCGGAAAGCAAACTGGCCGCCAAAAAACGGGGATTTCCAAGGAGAAGCCATAATGCCAACTGGCAACTGGCAAACTCTACAACATATTTTTCGAATATTTCAGTGATTTAATTGAGGAAGGCCACAAAATGATTTATTACTTATGAAACGCAAATTTATTTTTGACAAATCAATTAACAAAGCTAAGTGAAAAGTACTGTGAGCTGCAGGGAAGTGATAATTGCTTAAAAGACAATTAGGGAAATTATAATTGAAATGACAATTGATTTAATGGTAATATACGATGTATCTAGGCTGAATTTAAAGTTACAAAATATTCAAGAGACATTTCTACAAGTAAAACAATTCCAAAACTCTGAATTTATACAACATTTAAGAAACCTTTCTATAAAGAACCACTCCCTAACTCGAAATATATAAACAAATTGCATTGAAAATAAATTCGCATATTCGCAATTAAATTATTCCTAATTTTGGCATCTCTAAATTACTTTAATTTAATTAATTTCTAATCAATTATAAAAGAATCCACCTAAACAACCCCCAATGTGCCATAAATATGTTAAATTTTCGGTTTTAGCCGCCACAGAATGATAATTCCAATGCCTTTTATAGAGAGCGGACTCTAAGGCCATTCCAGCTGTGAGGCGGTCAACCGCTTTTTGGCCTGGTCAATAAAAATGTTTTGCATATTAAGCAGCCTCTGACTGAGTTGCGGCTTAAAAAAAGCAAAATACCTAAAAGGAAAATGTAAACAATTGACAGCCAGACGAGAGAGACGAGAGACACCTCAACAATACAGAAAAATCAACCTCATCTCGAGTCGAAGAAAAGACGAAATAATAAAAAAGAAACTTGATGAGCTGCAGTTTTTTAAGGCTAAGCTGCATGTGCAGCTGCTGCACCTGCCACACATTTATTATGAAGATAAACCTATAGACATTTATATCTCAATACCTTTATACATATGCAAATGGCTTTCAAAACGGATGCGTTTTGTTTGATTTCTTTTATTGTTTCTCTGACTTATCACAATGAACTCTGGGCACAATTTCCAAAAGAAATGAGAGCTTTTCCAGGGTCTGACATGGGGAGTGAAAGTGATAATTCCACAGCTGACTTTTAAGCCAAGAATCCGCAGATTAGACACGCACCTCTAGACCACTAATCTTGGCTCTCTGAATGCGGAAGACGATGGCAAATAAAATGAAATGAAATAATCTGTCCGCGGACAGAAATATTTTAATTTCGAGAAATTAAATCAAAGAAAATTTATTGCCATTTTGCATAGCATTCAGCTGAACATAAGAAAAGAAAAAAAAGAAACAAAAGCCGCCATTAGAAATGTGAAAGTTTACTTTTCTTTTTTGTCAGCGTTTCTTGTTTTTTGTTTATTTCAGAGCTAATGAACTGTCTGGGCATTGATTTAAAGATGCTGTGAAGTGTGTGAAAAATGTGAAATAATTCTGGTCTTACTTTCAAGATTGCACAATTCTTTTCGTTTTTAGAGTCAGAGTTTACATCACCCGCAGAACAATACACACTCACTGGGGACACAAGGACCTTCGACTGGCCAAATATTGTTGACTGACCACCTTTCTTTTTCCTTTTGGTCTAGACTGCAGACTAACCCCTTTTGTTTTGTTTTGGCCACGTTGCCGTGACGAACAGCCCGTGCAGCCCTTAGCCAACTGAAAGGTCTAGCTGAGAGCTAGCTGCGAGCAACCCCTAAGCGTTAATACACCCCTTAGGGCCACGCTGCGTATGCTTTATATATGGTAAACAAAAGCCAATGGGTCGATATACAAGTAGTTTGTGTTTTCGCTCTCCAAGGGTAGTTCCTATATGTATATATTATATATAGTCTAAGCATTATTCATGCTTTGTTGCTCTCTGGGCTGAGCTGGGATGTAAGCTAAATTGAATTTGTTAAATTGATGCACAGCTCAAGTGACACAATTTCTGCGTATGCATATTTATTTGCAAGCTGCTTATCACTCGACTGATTACATGGTGAGTCAGAGGCTTATCGGATGGCAAATTGAGGGAAATTTGATAGAAACAATTTTAGGGGCAGTTATTTGGTACAGCACCCAGAGGAGAGTTAAGACCAGCTGTTATTTTTGTGCATGCAAACGAGCATTAACTGCATTCCAAGCTCCGTTGCCTCAGAGCCAAAGAACCGCAAACAGAGCTAGACGCCAGACCTAAGACTTACACTGGGGGAAATACTAGAATAAGTTACTAACTAAAAATTTGAAAAGGTATCTTGTATTTTAATACAAATCTTTAGATAATATAAATCAACCTTTATGCTTTAAGCTTAATCTTTGTTTAAGTAATATTCCAACTAGGGAATATTTCTCTTCATGTTCTTTCCCGTCTGAGCTTGAGTCTGAGTCGGAATCGTCGACTAAGTCTGACTTTAGCCGCGTAAGGCACAGAGGCGTATAATTAGCGTGCAACATTGGCAAAGTGAAGCTAATGGAACCCCAAACAACACAGAAAACAGAAAACATGGCAGCGGAAAATGCTCGCGCACACACGGCGGATTCTTAACCGTAATTCTTGAAACCGTAAGCGGGGAAT